CTTGGGCCTTCAGCAAATGACTTCTGTGAGAATGATAAAGATACAGAAGAGCCTTGTCTATAATAACTGCCTGAGCTGCAAAATATAAAGTAAATATGATTTAGGCTTGGCTTATTACACTATGCTGTTGTGTGTCATTTAATGGCCATATAACTGCATAATGTATTTTTATAGCCGCATGGGGCTATTGTGGTAATCATGTAACCTAATGAATCACACTTTTTCCAGTATTTGGGAGCATGGACTGTAGGCCTTATATTAGGCATTTTGACTGTTGTATTAGTGAATTCCACTCTGTATGTAGGCTTGTTATAGACATTTGCATTGTACAACCACATTGAATTATTAAAGTGATAGGATAAGTATCCAGACCCTTTCAGTGGCGGCTCCTGAAAAAATTCTCAGGGGGGGCAATTTTTCTGATGATTTAGGTGACCTACACACATTTTTAAAAAGATATGTCCAGCAACAACATGAAGACAGGGGCAGCATATAAGTCAATACCAGAAGCATTTATTGACTGATCTCAAAAGTGTTGGCTTACAAAATCAAAATAAGTTATCACAGTAAAAATAATCAAGGGTGTTCTTTCACATTCCTCAACACTGCATAAACAATATGCATTTCCATAAACAAATGAAATATCAGCTGAAAATACAGCATCTTGGTATTTGTTCAGATTGCAGGATCAACAAGAGCTTTTACCACATTTTTTGCCTCATGGTTGAATTGGAAATATGTGCACTTGAGCATAATTCACAACAAGCAAGCAGGAGCTTTTGATAGAGGCTACTGAAAACATTGATGCAAGTTATTGGTAATAAGACATTTTTATAGACTTCCATATTCTGCCCTCTTGTATAGATTTGTGAAAATGAACAGTGATAGACATTTTGCCTGAAAACAGAATTTGAAAGTAATTTCTAGAAAAGGTAAACACAGCTATCTGTATGGCTTTGTAAAAATGAACAACCATATTCTGGCCAATTGTATAGATTTGTAAATATGAACAACCATATTCTGGCCAATTGTATAGATTTGTAAAAATGAACATGAACAGATTTTTTTTTTTGTAACTTTTTTTCTTGCTAACCTCATCGTTGTGGCGGCGGAAAGCTAGCCTGTATCCCTCATCCAGTTGAGTGGCAATATTCACTCTCCCCAAAGCAGACATTCTCAAACAGCTATCCATGTGGGTCTTTGACAGCTCATGTTTCTTAATCTTTTCTGAAAGATGGTGCATGTCGGTTACACCAGTCGCTGTCCAAGCGGTGCTGTCTGTCGTGCCGCCTTCAGGGTTAAAGAGTAAGCAGGGGTAGCAGAAAACTGCATTAGCTACATCGCAGCCTGCTAGCCAGATTTTTCGTTCATACCAATTTTTGGAAAATCCTCGGGTGTAGGACTTTCCCCCTTTAGTAGAAACCTGTTGAATTATTAAATTTGGTCTGGGAGGTCCTAATTGTTTCGTTGCCAATTTATCTTGATTTGTTCGCCGACAAAAAGGAACTTCTTTCAAAGAGACAATCGAGTTGCCATTTTGACAGTTGTAGTGAATTGATTGATGAGGCTACCCGCTCTTTTCTTAGTTACGTTCATGGTTATGTTACGTATGACGAAAGCGCGTAAGTGCAAGCCCTCAGAAACCCATAGAGATTGTATTGAAAGCTCTGATATTTGAAAAAAAATTGATTTTACATTAGAGGCTATGAGAGACTTCTGGCATTTGTTCGAAGGCTGGGAATGAAGCACCTTTGGCAGCGATTACAGCTTGATATCTTCTTGGGATGACCGCACAATCTGTGGAACACTTGAGCGATACAGCATCTTCTGGTATGACGCTGCTGGCACACCTGTTTTGGGGAGTTCGTCTCTGCAGATCATCCATCTGTCAGGTTGGATGGGGACGTTGCTGCACAGCTGATTTTCAGGTCTCTCCCAGAGATGTTCGATCGGGGTTTCTAGTCCAGGCTCTGGCTGGGCCACTCAAGGACATTCAGAGACTTGTCCCGAAGCCACTCCTGCGTTGTCTTGGCTGTGTGCTTAGGGTCGTTTTCCTGTTGGAAGGTGAGCGCTCTGGAGCCGGTTTTCATCGAGGATCTCTCTGTACTTTGCTCTGTTCATCTTTCCCTATATCCTGACTAGTCTCCCAGTCCCTGTCACTTCTTCACCACACTGTCTGTGTAGGTGGACCATTTCAGATTGTCAGTGATGTGTACGCAGAGGAACTTGAAGCTTTCCACCTTCTCCACTGCGGTCCCTTCGATGTGGATAGAGGCGTGCTCCCTCTGCTGTTTCCTAAAGTCCACGATCAGCTACTTCGTTTTGTTGAGGGAGAGGTTATTTTTCTGGCACCACTCTGCCAGGGCCCTCACCTCCTCCATGTAGGCTGTCTCGTCATTGTTGGTAATCAGGCCTACTACTGTTGTGTTGTCTGCAAACTTGATGATTGAGTTGGAGGCGTGCATGGCCACACAGTCATGGGTGAACAGGGAGTACAGGAGGGGGCTGAGCACACACCCTTATGGGGCCCCTGTGTTGAGGATCAGTGAAGTGGAGGTGTTGTTTCCTACCTTCACCACCTGGGGGCAGCCCGTAAGGATATCCAGGATCCAGTTGCACAGGGCCCGGTTCAGACCCAGGGCCCTGAGCTTAATGATGAGCTTGGAGGGTACTATGGTGTTGAAGGCTGAGCTATAGTCAATGAACAGCATTCTTACATAGGTATTCCTCTTGTCCAGATGGGATAGGGCAGTGTGCAGTGCGATGGCGATTGCATCATCTGTGGATCTATTGGGGTGGTATGCAAATTGAAGTGGGTTTAGGGTATCAGGTAAGGTAGAGGTGATATGATCCTTAACTAGCCTCTCAAAGCACTTCATGATGACAGAAGTGAGTGCTATGGGGCGATAGTCATTTAGTTCAGTTACCTTTGCTTTCTTGGGTACAGGAACAATGGTGGATATCTTGAAGCAAGTGGGGACAGCAGACTGGGATAGGGTGAGATTGAATATGTCCGTAAAGACTCCAGCCAGCTGGTCTGCGCATGCTCTGAGGATGCGGCTAGGGATGCTGTCTGGGCCGTCAGCTTTGCGAGGGTTAACATGCTTAAATGTCTTACTCACGTCGGCCACGGAGAACGAGAGCCCACAGTCCAGCGGGCCGCGTCGGTGGCACTGTGTTATCCTCAAAGTGGGCGAAGAAGGTGTTTAGCTTGTCTGGGAGCAAGACATCGGTTTCCGCAACGTGGCTGGTTTTCCCTTCGCAATTCGCGACTGTCTGTAGACCCTGCCATATACATCTCGTGTCTGAGACGTTGAAATGCAACTCCACTTTGTCTCTGTACTGACGTTTTGCCTGTTTGATTGCCTTACGGAGGGAAAAACTACATTGTTTGCATTCGACCGTATTCCCAGTCACCTTGCCATGGAGGGCCTTGTAGGCATCTCGTGGTGGAGTAGCAGTGGTTGAGTGTTTTTCCAGCACGAGTACTCCAGTCAATGTGTTGATATAACTTCGGTATTGTTTTCCTCAAATTTGCTTTGTTAAAATCCCCAGCTACAATAAATGCAGCCTCAGGATATGTGGTTTCCAGTTTGCACAAAGTCCAGTGTAGTTCCTTGAGGGCCGTCGTGGTATCGGCTTGAGGGGGAATATACACGGCTGTGACTCTAACCGAAGAGAATTCTCTTGGGAGGTAATACGGTCAGCATTTGATTGTGAGGTACTCTAGGTCGGATAAACAAATGACTTGAGTTTCTGTACGTTATCAAAATCACACCATGAGTAGTTAATCATGAACCCCCCCCCCCCCCACCCCCCCCCCGCCTTTCTTCTTCCCGGAGAGCTCTTTATTCCTGTCTGTGCGATGTACTGAGAACCCAGCTGGCTGTATGGACGGGGACAGTATATCCGGAGAGAGCCATGATTCTGTGAAACAGAGTATGTTACAGTCCCTGATGTCTCTCTGGAAGGAGATCCTCGCCCTGTGCTCGTCTACTTTACTGTCCAGAGACTGAACATTAGCGAGTAATATACTCAGAAGCGGTGGATGGTGTGCACGCCTCCTGAGTCGGACTAGAAGTCACTCTTCTCTGCCGGCAGTTTCTTGGAGCAGCCTCTGGGATAAGTTCACTTCCCCTGGGGGTTACGAACAAAGGATCCAATTCGGGAAAGTCGTATTCCTGGTCGTAGTGCTGGTGAGTTACCGTCACTCTGATATCCAAAAGTTATTTCTGGCTGTATGTAATAACACAAAAAAACGTTCTGGGCTAATAATGTAAGAAATATGACACAAAAAAAACAAAATACTGCCAAGTTCGCTTAGGAACTAGAAGCAGAGCTGCCATGTCTGTCGGCGCCATCTTGTCTATGCATAACCATCTCATCTCGAGACAACTCCGATATAAAGTGTTTTTTCTTAAAGTTGCCGGGATGTCACGTGCCCTACTTATATCAGTACACTTAAGCATTACAAAACAAATTCCACACTCTTTCATTGACCTCCATACAAAAACTCCTTGCTTGGTGGACGAAATAACGCAAAAACGCCACCTGCTGGAGGGAGTCAGATTTTCCCCGGAGTTGGGCCTCTCTCTTCCTCCTTTTCGTCGCTGATCCTGTCCACATTAAGACTTCCGGTTTTCGGATTTAGCCTTTAAAATAAAAGTCCATGGTAAAATGGTATGTGTATGATACAAAATCAATCATTTACTTGACCTTGGAACATGTTTTAAAACCCAAATGTCACTTAAATATGAACAAATATGAATTATTGTTAATGTTTAGACAATTATTGTTCATATATCATTAATAAATACAGGTTATTGACGCTTTTCTACTGTCACGTGGGGGACTTTTATTTAGAAAATTGTAGTTTTTTTGTTGTATTTGCTGCTGAGGAGATGCTGGTGATAGGCAGGAAGAAGCCACTCAAACCAGAGCTGTAAACGGCTGATTTTATCACTAAATTGTATCTAAAGAAGGGACATAAATTTAGGACAATGTCGAAGAATACAGTTTATAATCGATTCAGGACAGTAGACGTGGACGAATACGACGAGAACAAATTTGTTGACGAGGAGGATGGAGGCGAAAATCAGCTGGGTCCTGACGAGGCAGAAGTGGACTCGCTAATCAGACAATATCCTTTTATCTAGCTAGCAAATCAATACCTGTTTCGCTCATTTGGCCAGTGTATCTGCCGGTTCGTTTGCATGCGTTAGTGCTGGTGCTGCTGTAATTATGGTGCCAAGCCAAGTAAGTGCCATTATGTCTGTTTACATGTCTCAACTAGCAAGGTGTGGTTGGGTGGCAGCTGGCTAGCTTGTTAATCTGTCTGACTCACTGAGGTATAATAAGAACGGTCTGAGTATATTAGGATTAATTGATATTGCTTGCTTGTTGGATGCTAAAAGCTGGCATAACATTGTTGAGAATGGTTCTGCCTGTTTTGGAAACGATGCGAACGACAACAGTGCACGCTATTTCAGTTGCACCAATTGATGTCAAACGTTAATACTCGTCTAGATTCGACTTGCTAGGAAGTGTGAATGTGCACAAGTAAGTAAACTCGCTGTTTCATATGATTGAGGCTACTTATCTACAAGCATATTGATAAGAAGGATTATTGGGGTCAATTTCAATTCAATTTCAGCTCAAGATAACCTAAGTACCCCAATGAAGAACCCCAACCCTGTGTGGTAGTCACATTCCAGGGATTGTTTTACAACTCCTCAGGAAAGGTATATAGCTAACCATTGGTTCCTTTAGATTCCCTCATATACCCTTCAGAGTAAGTTTTACGGCACTGTAATCTGAGACTTGTGATAAACATTGAATGAGGAAATGGAGTTCAATGCCTTATAAGTCAGTAGCAGCAAGACGAACCTCTCTGCAGCACTTCCTGTGTGAGTGTTGAGAACCAGGTCTCCACAGGGGGTCTGAAGGGGGTTTCGCCCACTCATTTCAAGCTTGTACCCCCTCAGTTTTTGTTTTATGTCCCTACATAAAAATAGCAAAAAAGTTCAATTGATTGAGTGACAGGTTGGTGCAAAATAAATCTGTATCTGCGCTGTCAAATCAAATTGTATTGGTCACATGCGCAGAATACAACAGGTGTAGGCTTTACAGTGAAATGCTTACTTACAAGCCCATTCCCAACAGTGCAGAGTTAAAAAGTAAGACACATATTTGCAAAATAAAAAAGGAAATAGTAACACAATATAAACAATAACGAGGCTATATACATTTACGTCATTTAGCAGACACTCTTATCCAGAGCGACTAGGGTTAAGTGCCTTGCTTAAGGGCACAGCGACAGATTTTTCACCTAGTCAGCTCGGGGATTAGAACCAGCGACCTTTCGGTTACTGGCACAACGCTCTTACCCACTAAGCTACCTGCCGTACAGAGTCAATGTGCAGGGGTACGAGGTAGTTGAGGTAATACAGTATGTACATGTAGGTTGAGGTAAAAGTTACTAGGCAATCAGGATATATAATAAACAGAGTAGCAGCAGTTTATGTGAAAGTGTGTGTGGTGTCAATATGCGTGTGTGTTGGAGTGTCAGTGTAGTATGAGTGAGTGTGCATAAACCCAGTGCAAGGGAGGCAGTGCAAAACAATTTAAAGATAAATCAATAATAAAAGGGGTCAATGTAAATAGTCCGGGTAGCCATTTGATTAACAGTTCAGCAGTCTTATGGCTTGGTGGTAGAAGCTGTTCGGGAGCCTTTTGGTCACAGACTTGGCGCTCTGATACCGCTTGCCGTGCGGTAGCAGAGAGAACAGTCTATGACTTGGGTAGCTGGAATATTTGACAATTTTTAGGGCTGATGTACTGGGCCGTACGCACTACCCTCTGTAGCTCCTTGCGGTCGGATGCCGAGCAGTTGCCATACCAGGCGGTGATGCCGCCAGTCAAGATGCTCTCAATGGTGCAGCTGTAGAACTTTTTGAGGATCTGAGGGCCCATGCCAAATCTTTTCAGCCTCCTGAGGGGGAATAGTCGTTGTCGTGCCCTCTTCTCGACTGTGTTGGTGTGTTTGGACTTGAAGCGCTATTACAGCCCGTCGATGTTAATGGGGGTGTGTTTGGCACTCTGTTTCCTGTTGTCCACGATCAGCTCCTTTGTCTTGCTGACGTTGAGGGGGAGTTTATTTTATATACAGTACCAATCAAATGTTTGGACACACCTACTCATTCAAGGGTTTTTCTTTATTTTTACTATTTTTTACATTGTAGAATAATAGTGAAGACATCAAAACTATGAAATAACACATCATGTATTAACCAAAAAAGTGTTAAACAAATCAAAATATATTTTATATTTGAGATTCTTCAAATAGCCAACCTTTGCCTTATTGACAGCTTTGCACACTCTTGGCATTCTCTCAACTTGCTTCACCTGGAATGCTTTTCCAACAATCTGCCTTCACTCTGCCGGCCGACTCATCCCAAGCCATCTCAATTGGGTTGAGGTCGGGGGGATTGTGGAGGCCAGGTCATCTGATGCAGCACTCCATCACTCTCCTTGGTCAAATAGCCCTTACACAGCCTGGAGGTGTGTTGGATCATTGTCCTGTTGAAAAACAAATGATAGTCCCACTAAGCCCAAATCAGATGGGATGGCGAATCGCTGCAGAATGCTGTGGTAGCAATGCTGGTTAACTGTGCCTTGATTTCTAAATAAATCACAGACAGTGTCACCAGCAAAGCACCCCCACACCATCACACCTCCTCCTCCATGCTTTACGGTGGGAACTACACGTGCGGAGATCATCCGTTCACACACACAGCGTCTCACAAAGACACAGCGGTTTGAACCAAAAATCTCAAATTTGGACTCCAGACCAAAGGACACATTTCCGCTGGTCTAATGTCCATTGCTCGTGTTTCTTGGCCCGAGAAGGTCTCTTCTTATTATTGGTGTCCTTTAGTAGTGGTTTCTTTGCAGCAATTCGATCATGAAGGCCTGATTCACACAGTCCCCTCTGAACAGTTGATGTTGAGATGTGTCTATGACTTGAACTCTGTGAAGCATTTATTTGGGCTGCAATTTCTGAGGCTGGTAACTCTAATGAACTTATCCTCTGCAGCAGAGGTAACTCAGGGTCTTCCATTTCTGTGGCGGTCCTCATGAGAGCCAGTTTCATCATAATGCTTGCTGGTTTTTGCGAGTACACTTGAGGCGGCAGGTAGCTTAGTGGTTAAGAGTGTTGTGCCAGTAACCGAAAGGTTGCTGGTTCTAATCCCCGAGCCGACTAGGTGAAAAATCTGTCGACGTGCCCTTGAGCAAGGCACTTAACCCTAATTGCTCCTGTAAGTCGCTCTGGATAAGAGCGTCTGCTAAATGACTAAAATGTAAGAAACTTTCAAAGTTCTTGACATTTTCTGTATTGACTGACCTTCAGGTCTTGAATGAACTTTTAAGAAGGCACACCTGTTAATTGAAATGCATTCCAGGTGACTACCTCATGAAGCTGGTTGAGAGAATGCCAAGAGTGTGCAAAGCTGTCATCAAGGCAAAGGTGGCTATTTGAAGAATCTCAAATATAAAATATATTTTATTTGTTTAACACGTTTTTGGTTACTACGTGATTCCATATGTGTTATTTCATAGTTTTGATGTCTTCACTATTATTCTACAATGTAAAAATAAAGAAAAATCCTTGAATGAGTAGGTGTTCTAAAACTTTTGACTGGTAGTGTACTTTTGTGTATACTGTATAGTGTATATTTGTAAATATCACTGTTGTCTTTCGAAACACCAGCGCTGTTGAAATAAATCCAACGCTTAAGTGCACCTTTACCTGCCTACGTCCTGCTGAATCTTTGTCCTCACTACTGATAAAGCCTCTATTTTACGCTGATACAGCACAGTGGAGATGGGCTACCAATTTCGCGCCAACCTGTCACTTCAACAGCACTCAATGATCTCAGTCTCTGCATTTTAACTTTATGTTTTTTGCGGTATAGTGTGATAGAAGCAGTTCAATATAATTCCAACGCAAGAAACTCAAAATGTTTTACCCCTCGCAGATTTCAACTGCCTTCTTAGTCACTTTATGCTGCCTCCGGGTCTGGTGTGTTGGTGGGTGTAGCCAGAGATACTGGATATAATGATGAGATGATTGTGTCTCTGCTCTAACAATGGGATTTGTTGTCCACAGAGCGGAAGGGTGGGCTGTCAAGCTACCGCCTATTCCTCTCTTTGGATTGGTGGAAACATCTCGTTATTTGAATAATTATTTTCGATGAGCGGTGTTGACGTCAACTGCCTGTATTCAATGGAGAGTTAGATGCTGTGCTAGCGTCATGAATATGCATAGACCGTCTCAAATTTCGACAGGGACAACAATGATATAAAGTGTTTTTTCTCAGAGTTGCCAGGATGACACGTGTATCACACTTATATTTCTACAATTACATCATTTAGCAGACGCTGTTATCCAGCGCGACTTCCGGGAGCAATTAGGGTTAAGTGCCTTGCTCAAAGGTACATCAACAGATTTTTCACCAGTCGGCTCAGGGATTCAAACCAGCGACCTTTCGGTTACTGGCCCAACGCTGTTAACCGCTAGGCTACCTAAGCATTATGAAACTTCTGTTATCAAATAAGCCTCACGTATCAAAATAGCAATTCATTTTGGTCTTGACCAAATTCGACACTCATTGCCCAAGACATTCAGACCAAGACATTCAGACCAAGACATTCAGACCAAGACATTCAGACCAAGACATTCAGACCAAGACATCAGCAAACAGTTGCAAAAGGCTTTGCAGCGGAAAGTGCGGAAACCGGTTACTCCAAACTGAAAATGTTTTGCAACGAAAACGAGAGTTTCTATTGGTCAAATTCATTCTGTTGGCTTCTGTTTGCTTTCTAGTAAATACACCCCAGATTGCTTTTCTGTTCAGTAGCTACACACACTGAGTGGTCAGGTGTCTGATTGGTAGTAAACTGTGACATTCAATGTATTGATATGATGTAATGATACTATTTTATTTTCAAAGACCAGGGTAGGATATATGTTAGATTGGACAGACTGTTGTTTTAGGACAGTGTTATACTCCAGACTACCAGATATTGTCCACGTTGCCTCCTTCATCCCTCTCTGCACAGGGAACCTGATGGAGGCCTTGCAGGCAGTCCTGAAGAACCCACCAATCAACACCAAGAACCAGAAGGTCAAGGTAAGTCAAGACAACCCATTGGAAAAAGACTTGTCTGACTTCCATTTAGGTCCACCTAATGCGTTTAGTAGAGACTCAGTCATAGGAACTATGGATGTAGGCTATTTCATAGCTTCTTTTGACATGTTACTAAGTTGGGTTCCCTGGAGCTTTCCTTGCGTACATTCTTGTGGTACTTTTCTTTTTACATTTTAGTCATTTAGCAGACGCTCTTATCCAGAGCGACTTACAGGAGCAATTAGGGTTAAGTGCCTTGCTCAAGGGCACATCGCTCGATTTTTCACCTAGTCGGCTCGGGGATTAGAACCAGCGACCTTTCGGTTACTGGCACAACGCTCTTAACCACTAAGCTACCTTCTTGTACTTTGTTGTGTTTTGTCAGGAGCGTGCGGAGGGCCTTGTGTTGAAGGTGCTGAGTGCCTTTAAGAGCAGTGACGTAGAGAACGGGATCCAGTCTCTGGATAAGAACGGAGTGGACCTGCTCATGAAGTACATCTACAAAGGCTTTGAGACGCCATCGGATAACAGCAGTGCCGTCCTGCTGCAGTGGCATGAAAAGGTACTGCCACAGACAGACACCATATGTTTAACTGGCCTTGTGGGGACCAAACAATTGATTTCCATTGAAAATCATATTTCCCCTATCCCCTAACCTTAACCCCTAAACCTATTTCCCCTAATCCAAACTTAATTGTAAACCTAATCCTAAACCTGACCCCTGAGCCTAAAATAGCCTTTTTCCTTGTGGTTTCCGGTGAAATGTCCCTACTTGTCTGAATCTTCCTTGTTTTACTGTCCTTGTGAGGATAAAAAACACATGTAAATTAGACTTGATAAAAGTACTGCCACACACACACACACACACACACACTAATTAGACTTGATAAAAGTACTGCCACACACACATACACACACACTAATTAGACTTGATAAAAGTACTGCCACACACACAAACACACACACACTAATTAGACTTGATAAAAGTACTGCCACACACACACACACACTAATTAGACTTGATAAAAGTACTGCCACACCACACACCACACACACCACAACACACACACTAATTGAGACTTGAAATAAAAGTAATGCCACACCACACAACACACTAATTAGACTACTTGAATAAAAGGACTGCCACACACAATACACACAACACTAATAGACTTGATAAACGTACTGCCACAAACACAAACACACTAAGTAGACTTGATAAAACGTACTGCACACACACACACACACACTAATTAGACTTGTAAAAGTACTGCCACACACACACACACACACACAAACATATTAGACTTGATAAAAAGTACTGCCACACACACACACACTAATTAGACTTGATTTTAAAAGACTGCCATACACACACACACTAATTAGACTTGATAAAAGTTACTGCCATACACACACCACTAATTAGACTGATAAAAGTATGCCACCACAAACACACACTAATTAGATTGATAAAAGTACTTGCATTACACACACAAACTAATTAGACTGATAAAAGTACTGCCATACACACACACACTAAGTAGACTGATAAAAGTACTGCCATACACACACACACACTAATTAGACTTGATAAAGTACGGAAATCCACAACACACTAATTAGACTTGATAAAAGTACTGCCAACACACACTAATTAGACTTGATAAAAGTACTGCCATACACCCCACACACACACACTAATTAGACTTGATAAAAGTACTGCCATACACACACACTAATTAGACTTGATAAAAGTACTGCCATACACACACACACACACTAATTAGACTTGATAAAAGTACTGCCATACACACACACACACACTAATTAGACTTGATAAAAGTACTGCCATACACACACACACCAAAACTTAGACTATAAAAGTACTGCCATACACAACCACACACACACACTAATTAGACTTGATAAAAGTACTGCCACACACACACACACACACACACACTAATTAGACTTGATAAAAGTACTGCCATACACACACACACTAATTAGACTTGATAAAAGTACTGCCATACACACACACACACACACACACACACACACACACACTAATTAGACTTGATAAAAGTACTGCCATACACACACACACTAATTAGACTTGATAAAAGTACTGCCATACACACACACACACACTAATTAGACTTGATAAAAGTACTGACATACACACACACACACACACACACACACTAATTAGACTTGATAAAAGTACTGCCACACACACACACACTAATTAGACTTGATAAAAGTACTGCCATACACACACACACACACACACACACACTAATTAGACTTGATAAAAGTACTGCCATACACACACACACACTAATTAGACTTGATAAAAGTACTGCCATACTCACACACACACACTAATTAGACTTGATAAAAGTACTGCCATACTCACACACACACACTAATTAGACTTGATAAAAGTACTGCCATACACACACACACACTAATTAGACTTGATAAAAGTACTGCCATACACACACACACTAATTAGACTTGATAAAAGTACTGCCATACACACACACACTAATTAGACTTGATAAAAGTACTGCCATACACACACACACACACACTAATTAGACTTGATAAAAGTACTGCCATACACACACGCACACACTAATTAGACTTGATAAACACAGTTGCATATGATAACGTACGTAAGTTCCATGATATCCCTTCATTCCCTCCCCCTCTGTCCCAGGCTCTATCTGCAGGTGGCGTGGGATGCATCCTTAGAGTACTAACAGCCAGGAAGACCGTCTAACTAACAGAGGAGGAGAGGAGCCATGTTCTTCACAGCAACCGTCTGGTCTGGTACACATTACAACACAAGGATGATATCCAGTAGATCACAGCGTGCCACAGAGGAGATCCCTCCTATCTATCTCTGCTTCTTTTTAGATCTCACTTCCCTATGTCTCCCTACACACACACACACTGACACACACACACACACAAACACTGACACACACACACACACTGACACAAACTGTTTCACGCGTTCACCCAAACACATAAGACATGCCAAGTTGGCATGGTTTTGAGTATTTTTACTTAATTGGCTGCCCTCCCTTGACCCTAAAACACCAACACAATGCTACAGTGCTCTTCTTAGGTCTGGCTTTGTTTCTCTCAGGAAAAGTCTATTTTATAACGGTCAGCTAATTTTTCTACCCTGCTACTCTTTTTTTATTAAAGCACTGTTAGGCCGTTGTCTCTGCTAAAAAGCTGATCAGAGAATTCCTGAGGGAACAGAAGCTTAGAATTCCCCAGAAAATCCCTCATTAGCCCTTCCGTGACCCGTGGGGGCAGAGGGAGGGAGGCTCCTGAAAAGCACAGCCACAGATGGAGCGGACGGATTCTATGGGTGGGGGACGTTTTCGGCTGCAGGGGCGGTCTGGCCATCCTGCCTACCCTAGTTGGGTATTAATACCCACGATGCATTACGGCCCCCCTTTACTACCAGCACTACTGTTACTAATCCTAGGCTGTGTTCCAGTGAAACACTACCCTACCACTTTGTGAAGCAATGTAATGGGAATGCAGTCTAAGTGGTGTTCTGGTATGGGTTTGGGGAGATCTATTCCACAGTGTTCTCTCACTCACTGAATCACCTACAGGGCATTATCATGTCAGACTGTTGTAATATTGCTTAGCAAGGGATGCATTTGTAGCGCTTCCAGGAAATAAGAATAGTTTCGCTAAGGACTAGGGTTGCAAAATTCTGGGAACTTTCAATAAATTCTGTGGTTTTCCAGAAATCCTGTTTGTAGGATTCCTGATTTTCCTGCTGATTCCGGGAATCCTCCGACCGGGAACACTAGGGAATTTATGTTAAGTTCCCGGAATTTTGCAAAACCTACTAAGGACCCATTCATTAATCTATGATTATTTGTATTTTGCCGAACAGAGAATTTGCCTTGGGTGTATTCTTTGCTCTTCTTTCCGTTGGTTCTCACTCCCACATTCCCTCACCAGAATATTCTGTATGTCATCACTGCTAGTCAATCATGGTGTATCTTTCTTGCCCTATTTAACCTGTGTTTGTTTAAGTGTCATGGTTTTCTATTGTTATTTGTAAACGCCACTTTGGGTCTCTTCCTGATAATTGAACAGTATTTTTTTAAATATATATATATACACTACCAGTCAAAAGTTTGGACACACCAACTCATTGAAGGGTTTATCTTTATTTTTACTATTTTTTACATTGTAGAATAATAGTGAAGACATCAGAACAATGAAATAACACATATGGAATCATGTAGTAATCAAAAAAGTGTTAAACAAATCTTCAAATAGCCACCCTTTGCCTTGATGACAGCTTTGCATATTCTTGGCATTCTCTCAACCAGCTTCAGGAGGTAGTCACCTGGAATGCAATTCAATTAACAGGTGTGCCTTGTTAATTTGTAGAATTGATTTCTATCTTAATGCGTTTGAGCCAATCAGTTGTGTTGTGACAAGGTAGGGGGGAAGATATCCCTATTTGGTAAAAGATAAAGTCCATATTATGGCAAGAACAGCTCAAATAAGCAAAGAGAAATGACAGTCCATCATTACGTTAAGACATGAAGGTCAGTCAATCCGGAAAATTTCAAGAACTTTGAAATTTCTTCAAGTGCAGTTGCAAAAACGATCAAGCTCTATGATGAAACTGGCTCTCATGAGGACCGCCACAGAAATGGAAGACCCAGAGTTACCTCTTCTGCAGAGGATAAGTTCATTAGAGTTACCAGCCTCAGAAATTACAGCCCAAATAAATGCTTCACAGAGTTCAAGTCATAGACACATCTCAACATCAACTGTTCAGAGGGGACTGTGTGAATCAGGCTTTCATGGTCGAATTGCTGCAAAGAAACCACTACTAAAGGACACCAATAAGAAGAAGAGACCTGCTTGGGCAAAGAAACACGAGAAATGGAAATTAGACAGGTGGAAATCTGTCCTTTGGTCTGGAGTCCAAATTGGAAATTTTTGGTTCCAACTGCCGTGTCTTTGTGTGACGCGGTATGGGTGAACGGATGATCTCCGCATGTGTAGTTCCCACCGTTAAGCATGGAGGAGGAGGTGTTATGGTGTGGGGGGTGCTTTGCTGGTGACACTGTCTGTGATTTATTTAGAATTCAAGGCACACTTAACCAGCATTGCTACTACAGCATTCTGCAGCGATACGCCATCCAATCTGGTTTGGGCTTAGTGGGACTATATCATTTGTTTTTCAACAGGCTGTGTAAGGGCTATTTTACCAAGAAGGAGAGTGATGGAGTGCTGCATCAGATGACCTGGCCTCCACAATCCCCCAACCTCAACCCAATTGAGATGGTTTGGGATGAGTCGGACGGCAGAGTGAAGGAAAGTAGCCAACAAGTGCTCAGCATATGTGGGAACTCCTTCAAGACTGTTGGAAAAGCATTCCAAGTGAAGCTAGTTGAGAGAATGCCAAGAGTGTGCAAAGCTGTCATCATGGCAAAGGGTGGCTACTTTGAAGAATCTCCAATATAAAATATATTTTGATTTGTTTAACACTTTTTTGGTTACTACATGATTCCATAAGTGTTATTTCATAGTTTTGATGTCTTCACTATTACTCTACAATGTAGAAAATAGTAAAAAATAAAGAAAAACCCTTGAATGAGTAGGTGTGTCCAAACTTTTGACTGGTACTATATATATATATATATATATATATATATGAGTTTACATTCCTTTTGTATAAGGCCAGGTATTTGGAATATGAACCCAGGGAATGTGTTTAGTTGAAATACTAGCATGTATTAGGTAGGATAGTATTTTGTGGTGCAAACACCTTCCCTGGCTTTTGTGTCATTCATTGTGGGACCCAGAACACACTGTCTGTCTGCAAGCTTCATCTGCCTTTACTGGTAGATCGCATTTGTTGCCAAAATAGCTGATTGCTTTCCTGAAAGTTTTCTCAGTTTTGAACTTAAACTGCTAATTACATCCATGTTCTGAGCAGGCCTTGGCAGGTGTTTAGATTGCTCATTTCAGTTGACATGGGTTTTCAGGACTTACAGTACACGTTTCACGCTTTTCTGCATCATGTTTTTCATGATTGATGACATAAATTATCCCCGTTCTTAATATTGAGATGAAATTATGGCTTTTGCTCATTCTCACTCTGAAGAAAACACTTGGTGTCATGGACTAAATCAGTGTAATTGGTGATAAGTGAAAATTGTCCATAAAAAGGTTATAATTATTTTTCTATTATTTACGTTAAAATCAGTGTCTTCTGTTCATCCCTCCCAAGCACTTATTGTTTGAGGACCACTATCAGTATTGTCTCTGTCTCCAGAGGGGAGATTTATATATATCTGAGTCCCAAATGGCACCCTATTCCCTATATAGTGCATTGCGTTTGACCATAGCCCTGTAGGGCCAGGTAAAAGTAGTGCACTATATAGGGAATAGGGTGCCATTTGGGATGCAACCTGTCTCTGTAATAAATAATCTATGGGGAAACCACATTTTGATTAATGATCACCATTTAATATCATGTGTGTGGATTTCTTCATGTTTTAATAATCTCATCAGTGGTGATGCATTAGTAGCTGTTTTTTTTATAATTATGCAGTTGAAATGTTAAATGCTCAATTGCAAAAAATTCTAAGGAACATATCAAACTGGTGTACAAATTGCCTTACTCTATAACAATATTCCTTTACGGCAGGTAGCTTAGTGGTTAAGAGGGTTGTGCCAGTAACCGAAAGGTCGCTGGTTCTAATCCCCGAGCCGACTAGGTGAAAAATCTGTCGTTGTGCCCTTGAGCAAGGCACTTAACCCTAATTGCTCCTGTAAGTCGCTCTGGATAAGAGCGTCTGCTAAATGACTAAAATGTAAATGTAATGTTTGTGATTTAAGTAATATAAAAAGTTATGAAAACATTTGAAGTTCTGAGTTATTTACTGGTGAAAAGTACTTGTGGTACAGCAGATAACTAGTCACAAACACCTATCATGATTGTATATCTGTTCATTTATTTTTTATAAAAATGTAATACAGTAAAATACAGTATAGAAATACATTACAAGAGAAAACAAACACTTCTATACAAATCATAAAAATAGAATACATCTTGGTAACTGACTAAGGATGAACTGGTTAAAAGAGTCCTATGAACCTTTAATGTAATGTTGTGATTGTATTGACTGTAATGAAGTAATGACGACTACTGTGCCTATCTGATACACTGGTAATGGAGGAGGGAGTGTGTTGTGTATTCTGGGGATGAGGAAGAGGGGTGATTACCTGAGGTGGGCAAGAGTTTGACCATAGAGATGATGTGATGCAATGTCTAAGTCAGTTTGACTGACAGACAGCCAAACTCCTCTCGCCAACAAGTCTCTACAGGCACCGTTTCAGACCAATCAAATGACCAGCTCTGTTCTCCGGTCTGATGTCACAACATGCTGTGACCAACCAGCCGAAGAGTTGAGCAAAGGAGGGAACTGCCCCTTTTTTCGTATTCAAGCACTTCCCAATAAGTTAATAGGTAGATGTAAATAAAGGCTAGCTAATGTTTCTTGTCTCTACCACGTTAAGCCTGAGGAGAGGAGGAGGGGAGGAAGCCTACATTCTGGGCCAACGGTGGACTCATCATGGGCCCTGGAGAAGCAGTCTGGGTCATCCGTAAATATCACTACACCTTGTGGACGGGAGAGGGCAGGGTAAAGTACAAGAGGGTCAAACAATTCATTCTAGATCCACAAAGCCCTTTAGCATTGGAGAGAGAACAGGATTCTTTTTAGGATATCTGGCCAATAAATAGGTGTTTACTTCCATCCGAGGGGGAACTCGCTATTCTGTAAACTCTTTGATGTGCACCAGGGGCGAGTGTTGTCATTTCCTAATCTGCCTCCTGGGATTGCAGTGCTGTTCTCCTGTCCCACCTTAGTTCTCATATACGAACAGTCCTTTTCCCAACCACACACACACAGACACACATACACATACATCCACACACAGTGGTGCTGCATACAGAGGTCGCAACCTTTTACACCGTCGTTTTAAAGTGCTCTCAGTAGGGGTAGGTGGAGACTGCGATGTAGACGATGAAGGTGGTCTGGTACTCGATGCCTCCGTCAGCGCTGTAGGACAGGGAGCGGACCTTCATCCTGTAGGTGTGGGGCTCTCGGAGGGCCCGGGTCGTGAACAGCACCCCTTTCAGGTTCTCATCTCGCAGGGCGAAGGGCAACGTCACGTCCTCGTCCACCACCAGGAAGGAGGTACGGGGGTGCACCACACCGTCCTGCGTGTACGCCACCAGCCGGATCAGGTCCTGATTGGCCGCAATGCCAAAGGGGAGGGACAGCAGCTTGTACTCCAGTGCGTAAGGGCTCAGGGCACACTCCAGGTCGTTGGGAGGGCATTTCTTCAGACAGAACCTACAACACAGAACACACAACATGGACACTTCGCTAGGGTATTCTGTACTTAGGGGCTCTATTCAATCAAATCCGCTTTAGCCGACATCCGCATAGCGTTAGAGCTGTCAAATGCACAAGCGGCTCCTGGAATAATACCTAAAGCAGACATTGCCATTGGCTGCACGGAGTCGAATTAACAGAAATCCCATGCAGCCTTGTTTACAAGTTAAAACACTGGAATGTGAGATGTAATCTACGCCTTGATAAGGCTAATAGAAATCCTCTATTTCGTTTAATGATTTTCAATTTGAGCATCATTATTTCTATATATGCTACACTTTCTCGTTCAGAACTTTTAACGCAAGTGGGAAGGGTGTGGCTCCGTGACAATGATCACAAGAGCAACTGCTCACCGATTTGACAGCTCCAACACAGTTCCACGTCCGACATGGCCAAAACATCAGCTATCCGGGTGTCGGCTATCCCCGGGTTAACGCTTGATCTGATTGAGTCTAGGTCTTAAGTGTGTATACTGCATGGTTCTTCAGACAACTAACGCCACAAATGTATAGTAAACAAAGTGCTGGAGAATGTACCGGTATGTAAGTGTGTGTTAGTGGATGTGTGTATGACAGTACATAAGAGTGAGTCAATGTTTGTGTGAGTGAGTCAATGTGTGTTTACTCTTTACCCTGTTGCTGGGTCTCTCTGGTAGTTAGGTGGGCAGGGTGTGTCGATACACTGGTAACTTCCTCTCATGTTAAAGCACATCCTGTTGGTCCCACACTGGATATTCTGCTCCAGACACTCATCTATATCTGCCCTCACAATACAGGAGTTAGTTAGTTATACAACATATAGCAATACATAACATCACAATACAGGAGTTAGTTAGTTATACAACATATAGCAATACATAACATCACAATACAGGAGTTAGTTATACAACATACACTACCAGTCAAAAGTTTGGACACACCTACTCATTCCAGGGTTTTTCTTTATTTTTACTATTTTCTACATTGTAGAATAATAGTGAAGACATTAAAACCATGAAAAACACATATGGAATCATGTAGTAACCAGAAAAGTGTTAAACAAATCAAAATATATTTTATATTTGAGATTTTTCAAAGTAGCCACCCTTTGCCTTGATGACAGCTTTGCACACTCTTGGCATTCTCTCAACCAGCTTCATGAGGTAGTCATCTGGAATGCGTTTCAATTAACAGGTGTGTCTTGTTAACAGGTAATTTGTGGAATTTCTTTCCTTAATGCATTTGAGACAATCAGTTGTGTTGCAACAAGGTAGGGGTGGTATACAGAAGATAGCCCTATTTGCTCAAATCAGCAAAGAGAAACAACAGTCCATCATTACTTTAAGACATGAAGATCAGTCAATCGGGAAAATGTCAAGAACTTTGAAAGTTTCTTCAAGTGCAGTCGCAAAAACCATCAAGCGCTATGATGAAAATGTCTCTCATGAGGACCGCCACAGGAAAGGAAGACCCAGAGTTACCTCTGCTGCAGAGGATAAGTTCATTAGAGTTACCAGCCTCAGAAATTGCAGCCAAAATAAAGGCTTCACAGAGTTCAAGTAACAGACACATCTCAACATCAACTGTTCAGATGGGACTGTGTGAATCAGGCCTTCATGGTCGAATTGCTGCAAAGAAACCACTACTAAAGGACACCAATAAGAAGAGACTTGATTGGGCCAAGAAACACGAGCAATGGACATTAGACCGGTGGAAATCTGTCCTTTGGTCTGATGAGTCCAAATTTGAGATTTTTGGTTCCAACCACCGTGTCTTTGTGAGACGCAGAGTAGGTGAACGGATGATCTCTGCATGTGTGGTTCCCACCATGAAGCATGGAGGAGGAGGTGTGATGGTGTGGGGGGTGCTTTGCTGGTGACACTGTCTGTGATTTATTTAGAATTCAAGGCACACTTAACCGGCATGGCTACCACAGCATTCTGCAGCGATACGCCATCCCATCTGGTTTGTGCTTAGTGGGACTATCATTTGTTTTCCAACAGGATAATGACAACACACCTCCAGGCTGTGTAAGGGCTATTTGACCAAGAAGGAGAATGATGGAGTGCTGCATCTGATGACCTGGCCTCCACAATCACCCGACCTCAACGCAATTGAGATGGTTTGGGATGAGTTGGACCACAGAGTGAAGGAAAAGCAGCCAACAAGTGCTAAGCATATGCAGGAACTCCTTCAAGACTGTTGGAAAAGCATTCCAGGTGAAGCTGGTTGAGAGAATGCCAAGAGTGTGCAAAGCTGTCAAGACAAAGGGTGGCTACTTTGAAGAATCTCAAATATAAAATATATTTTGATTTGTTTAACACTTTTTTGGTTACTACATGATTCCATATGTGTTATTTTATAGTTTTGATGTCTTCACTATTGTTCTACAATGTAGAAAATTGTAAAAATAAAGAAAAACCCTTGAATGAGTAGGTCTGTCCAAACTTTTGACTGGTACTGTATAGCAATACATAACACATGATACAGTTATTGAGTATACTGTACCTGCAACTTTTACTTATATATATATATATATAATTTCATAAAATGTATTTTATTATAGTAGAATATAGGGATGCTGTCTGAGCGATGATGAATGGATAGATATAGAAATAACATGTGATTGATTGATTCATTGATTGGTTGATTCATTGGTTGACTGACTGATGTGGAGGTGTTCTGCTCACCTTGGCAGGTCTTGCCGTTGGTCATGAGGCGGTAGCCGGCTGGACACAAACACCGATGGCTCCCTGGAGTGTTCATACACTCATGCTGGCATGCGTCCCTCACCTCACACTCGTTGATGTCTACACACACACAGGAAACATTTATCGTTTGAAACATGTTATAAAGGTGTTTTTAGAAACATCCCTGCGCAGGTGGCGCCCTGGCGGGCACATACACTTGAAGCTGCCGGGGGTGTTGAGGCACTGGTGAGCGCAGGGCTGGGGCGCATGCTCACACTCATTACTGTCTGGTGATGTCACAGCACCACAGAGAGGGGGGGAGAAGGATGGGCGAGAGAGGGGGGAGGAGGGGGAGATTAGAAAAGGAAGAGAGGGAAGACAGGCAAGAGTAAAAGTTGAGTAAAGAGGGAAACATATGGATAGACAGAGGATAAGGCAGTTAAGGAAGAGGCAGATGAAGAGGGAGAAGGAAAGTGGTGTAAGGAAAGAGGAAGACAACAGAACAATCACCCCAACGTACAGGAACAATCACCCCAACGTACTGTGCATTCGGAAAGTATTCAGACCTCTTGACTTTTTCCACATTTTTTTACAGTACAGCCTTATTCTAAAATGGATTAAATTCTTTTTTTTCCATCATCAATCTACACACAATACCCCATAATGACAAAGCAAAAACAGATTTTTAGAATTGTTTTCCAATTCATACAAAATAAAAAACAGAAATACCTTATTTACATAAGTATTCAGACCTTTTACTCAGCACTTTGTTGAAGCACCTTTGGCAGCGATTACAGCCATGAATCTTCTTGGGTATTACGCTACAAGCTTGGCACACCTATATTTGGGGAGTTTCTCCCATTATTCTCTGCAGATCCTCTCAAGCTCTTTCAGGTTGGATTGGGAGCGTCACTGCACAGCTATTTTCAGGTCTCTCCAGAGATGTTCGATCGGGTTCAAGTCCGGGTTCTGGCTGGGCCACTCAAGGACATTCAGAGACTTGTCCCGAAGTCACTCCTACGTTGTCTTGGCTGTGTGCTTAGTGTCGTTGTCCTGTTGGAAGATGAACCTTCGCCCCAGTCTGATGTCCTAAGCGCTCTGGAGCAGGTTTTCATCAAGGATCTCTCTGTACTTTGCTCTGTTCATCTTTCACTCGATCCTGACTAGTCTCCCAGTCCCTGCCGATGAAAAACATCCCCACAGCATGATGGTGCCATCACCATGCTTCACCGTAGGGATGGTGCCAGGTTTCCTCCAGACATGACGCTTGGCATTCAGGCCAAAGAGTTTTATCTTGGTTTCATCAGACCAGAGAACTTTGTTTCTCATGGTCTGATAGTCCTTTAGGTGCCTTTTGGCAAATTCCAAGTGGGCTGTCATGTGCCTTTTACTGAGGAGTGGCCTCCGTCTGGCCACTCAACCATAAAGGCCTGATTGGTGGAATGCTGCAGAAATGGTTGTCCTTCTGGAAGGTTCTCCCATCTCCACAGAGGAACTCTAGAGCTCTGTCAGAGTGACCATCAGGTTCTTGGTCACCACCCTGACCAAGGCCCTTCTCCCCCGATTGTTCAGTTTGGCCAGATCTAGGAAGACTTGGTGATTCCAAATCAAATGTTATTTGTCACATGCGCCGAATACAACAGGTGTAGACCTTAACCAACAATGCAATTTTAAGAAAGAATACCAAAAAAATACAATGCAATGCAAATAGTCTGGGTAGCCATTTGATTAGATGTTCAGGAGTCTTATGGTTTGGGGGTAGAAGCTGTTTAGAAGCCTCTTGGACCTAGACTTGGCACTACGGTACCGCTTGCCGTGTGGTAGCAGAGAGAACAGTCTATGACTAGGGTGGCTGGAGTCTTTGACAATTTTTATGGTCTTCCTCTGACACCGCCTGGTATAGAGGTCCTGGATGGCAGGAAGCTTGGCCCCAGTAGTGTACTGGGCCGTACGCACTACCCTCTGTAGTGCATTGCGGTCGGAGGCCGAGCAGTTGCCATACCAGGCTGTGATGCAACCAGTCAGGATGCTCTTGATGATGCAGCTGTAGAACCTTTTGAGGATCTGAGGACCCATGCCAAATCTTTTCAGTCTCCTTAGGGGGAATAGGTTTTGTCATGCCCTCTTCACAACTGTCTTGGTGTGCTTTGACCATGTTAGTTTGTTGGTGATGTGGACACCAAGGAACTTGAAGCTCTCAACCTGCTCCACTAAAGCCCCATCGATGAGAATGGGGGCGTGCTTGGTCCTCTTCTTTTTCCTGTAGTCCACAATCATCTCCTTTGTCTTCATCACGTTGAGGGAAAGGTTGTTGTCCTGGCACCACAAGGCCAGGTCTCTGACCTCCTCCCTATAGGCTGTCTCGTCGTTGTCGGTGATCTACCAATGTTGTGTCATCGGCAAACTTAATGATGGTGTTGGAGTCATGACTAGCCATGCAGTCATGAGTGAACAGGGAGTACAGGAGGGAACTGAGCACACACCCCTGAGGGGCCCCCGTGTTGAGGATCATCGTGGCGGATGTGTTGTTACCTACCCTAACCACCTGGGGGCGGCACGTCAGGAAGTCCAGGATCCAGTTGCAGAGGGAGGTGTTTAGTCCCAGGGTCCTTAGCTTAGTGATGAGCTTTGAGGGCACTATGGTGTTGAACGCTGAGCTGTTGTCAATTAATAGCATTCTCACATATGTGTTCCTTTTGTCCAGGTGTGAAAGGGCAGTGTGGAGTGCAATAGAGATTGCATCATCTGTGGATCTGTGTCACGGTTTCGGCCGAGGCTGCCTCTCTCCCTTGTTCGGGCAGGTTTCGGCGTTCGTCGTCTCCGGAATTCTAGCTGCCACCGCTATATGTTTCATGTTCGTTTGCTTTTGTCTGTTTGTTTCCACACCTGTTTCTGTTTTGGCGTAATTAGTGTCCTATAAGTTTCTCGTTGTGTTTGTCTAGTGTTGTGTGTAATTATTTCCGTCAGTATTGTGTTTTGCTCGGTTGAGCTTATTCTCCACTGTGCTGGAGCATTTTCGCACCTGTGTGTGCACAGTTACATTTTTGTCGCACCTGTTTGTGCGCAATTACCTTTCGCCTTCGTGCGTGTTTTTTCGCTTTCGGGCTAAGTTGTCCTGTTGCCTTAGTTTGGCCAGTAATACAGCCTTTGGAACATTCAGTCTGAGTCCTGCGTTTGATTCCTACATTACACCTACAACACGCCCTGACAGAATTACACACCATCAATGGAATCAGCAGGAGCCGAAGCAGCCCAGACGAGACTGGAGGCCCAGGTTCGGGACCAACAAGAGCAGCTCCTGCAGATGGGGACCGCCCTGCAGGAGGTGATTTCCACCCTCCGAGGCTGGGGTACGCCTCCACCGCCTCCCGCCCTGCCAGCACCATCGGCCAGCCCGCCCATTCCAGCGCCGGAACCTCGAGGAGTCCGACTATCTCTCCCGAGGGCCTACAACGGAACCGCGGCTGGGTGTCAGGGATTCCTACTCCAGGTGGAGCTATACCTGGCCACAGTGCACCCGGCACCTTCAGGGCATGAGAGCGTGTCCGCCCTGATCTCCTGCCTGGCCGGAAAAGCGTTGGAGTGGGCCAACGCGGAGTGGAGGAAGATCGACGCCACGACGATTACTTACAACGAGTTCTCCCGCCGCTTCAGGGCGGTGTTTGACCATCCCCCGGAGGGGAAAGCGGCGGGGGAGCGTCTGGTCTTCCTCCGGCAGGGGAGGAGAAGTGCCCAGGAATTCGCGCTCGAATTCCGTACTCTAGCGGCAGATGCAGGGTGGAATGATCGGGCCCTCATCGATCTATACAGATGTAGCCTACGAGAGGACGTCCGTCGGGAGCTGGCTTGTAGGGACACCAGCCTCTCTTTCGACCAGCTGGTTGACATGTCCATCAGGCTGGATAACCTACTGGCTACCCGCGGACGTCCTGCGGAGGGTCCGTCCATTTCACCCTCCAGCGCCTCCGAGCCGTGTCCTATGGAGCTCGGGGGCGCTGGCGCTAGAGAGAGGAGGGGTCGGCAGGCTAGGGGGTCCATCCACTGCACCAACTGTGGTCGGGGAGGACACACCGCGGCTAGGTGCTGGGGATGGCCTCCTAGGGGAGATGACGACAGGTCCCGCACTGGGGATTCCCTCCAGGTGAGTAGGCGCCCCACTCACCCAGAGCTCACTGTTGCCCATTTTTGTATGCCTGTACGTTTTCCACAGGTAGCACCTCATTCCCAGCATAAGGCGCTGGTAGATTCAGGCGCGGCTGGGAATTTTATTGATAAAAAGTTTTGTTTAGCGTTAGGGATTCCCCTCATTCCTGTTGATGTTCCTTTTCCCGTTCACGCCCTAGATAGTCGTCCGTTGGGTACGGGCTTAATCAGGGAGGTCACGGCGCCACTTAGGATGTGTGCGCAGGGGGATCATCAGGAGATGATTCAGCTGTTCCTGATTGACTCTCCTGCGTATCCGGTGGTGCTGGGCATGCCCTGGTTGAGTACCCATAACCCAGCGATTTCGTGGCAGGAGAGGGCTCTGATGGAGTGGTCTGCTCAGTGTGTGGGTAGATGTTTGGGCGTTTCCGTAGGGGCTACCTCGGTGGAGAGTCCAAACCAGGTGCCCGCATTGCACGTTCCACCTGAGTATGGGGATTTGGCTATTGCGTTTAGTAAGGCGAGGGCGACGCGGTTGCCACCCCATAGGCAGGGGGATTGTGCGATAGACCTCCAGGCAGGAGCTGCGCTCCCACGGAGCCATGTGTATCCTCTGTCTCAGGAGGAGAAGAAAGCTATGGAGATTTACATAGACGAATCGCTGAGACAAGGATACATACGGCCTTCCACTTCCCCCGCGTCCTCGAGTTTCTTTTTCGTGAAGAAAAAGGATGGTGGTTTGCGCCCGTGCATCGATTACCGTGGTCTCAATCAGATTACGGTGAAGTATAGTTATCCACTCCCGCTGATTGCGACCATGACTGAGTCGTTGCATGGGGCGCGTTTCTTCACGAAATTAGATCTCAGGAGCGCGTACAACTTGGTGCGCATCAGGGAGGGTGATGAATGGAAAACAGCCTTTAGTACCACCTCGGGCCATTACGAGTATCTGGTCATGCCATACGGGTTGATGAATGCTCCGTCAGTTTTCCAATCATTTGTGGATGAGATCTTCAGGGACATGCAGGGGCAGGGGGTGGTGGTGTACATTGATGACATTCTCGTGTACTCACCTACCCGTGTCGAGCATGTGGCCCTGGTGCGCAGAGTGTTGCGGAGGCTGGTGGAGCACGACCTG